GGGGGGGGGGGGGGGGGGGGGGGGGGGGGAGAATAAGGCTCCTGGGAGGGGAAGGGGCGACAGGGGAGTTGAAGAAGAGAGTTTTCTTCAGTTTTAGCGTTAGACCCTGATATTTGTAGCAGTGGAAGTTATGCCGCTGGGAGGAACAGGGTGGGAAAGGGGAGGAGGGGGACGGAGAGGGAGGAGCGAAAGCCCCATTACTTCCTTCTCCCTCGGACCCGCCTATGGAATCGAGTTCCCTCCTGTGACATGATTAGAATTCATAACACTTCCGTGCTAACATCTGGTGTTGTGTGGCAGCAAAGGTGTACATGCTGCCGGTTGATCCTTCCCGAGCTTTGTGCTTGGCAAAATCAGATGCAGACGGAATAAATCCACGGGCGGCATCGTCCTCAGCAAAGGGCAAATTAGTCGTGTGAAGAAAAACTACTTGAAACTCATCCTTCATTATTTAGTGCTTTTAGGGGGTGAGAACAAAAAGAGGTACCGTTCCACTGACGTGCTCCAATTCCAGACCCAATAACCTCAAATTTGCCTCATACTGCTGTCGTTTTGCTGCCTTTTTGCTTCCTTTTACCCGGGAAGTCGGAGAAATCTGTAACAATCAAATAAAACTCTTCTATGGAAATTTCTAAGAATTAGTATTTGCTTCCCAGTTATTTCACATGCTTTTCAACAGACGTGATACTTATGTTTGGTGCCTTTTGATCTGATTTTTGCATTTCGGCATAAAATGGTAACTCTTAGCTGAATTCTGCCCCTGTCCTCCTTTTCCGTCCCTAAAATAATTATATTTACTGAACTTTATTCATGCTTTATTGCTTTATTCATCCCACTCAGTAATTATCCGTAAATCGTCTTCGGTAATTCAGTGTAATGCATGCACCTCTCAGCTTAATCCTCTTCTCACCCCTCCCCCCTCACACGCCCTCTCTCCTCCCCCTCTTTCAGCCTCAGCCGTCTACAAAACATCTTGGTTTCCGTCTTTGCATTCAGTACTTAAGCTTAGGTCATTCCACCACAAAATTTTTGATTTAATGCAAAACAGAAGCACTCTTTTCAGTTTCCCATGTTCACTACTGCAACTCATTAAATCTGAACAAAATCTGAAAGACTGTTGCTGAAAAACAGCTTTCAACTGATCCTTATCCTCTACTTGAAATTAATCTTACTTCATCCATGATTTGTGTGCTGGAGGGATCGTCATCTTCCGTTTCGTCATTTTCATAAGCCAAAACATAATCTATCCTCCGCTTACCATCTTTGAAATACAAACCCTTGAGAACCCGTTGCTGTCGAAACTGCGATACGGCGTTCTTTTCCTAAAAAACACCAGAGAAAAATGAACGAAAAAAAGGACTGGAGTTCTGAAAACTTAAAAAAGTTCAACGGACTTGAAAACGGTCACTGGTACCAGTAATCCTGCTGCAATAGTAATCTTGCCTTTGCATCGATTTTGGACCTGGATATTCGTATTGGCTGGGCATTTTGATCTCAGAAAGCTCTTATACCTGGCTGTCCGACGAATCAATGGCACTTTCCATCGGCAACTCGTCGTAATCAAAACATTCGCTGCGTGTCAAGCGGCGCTTCCGACTAACACCAAGCCAAATCCCTAGAATTGGAAATCCATAACAGTAGAGCTTGGGATACTAAAAGCAGAGAGACTGATCTAGATATCACATTCAGCGATCGATATATTGGGAGTTTCATCCCTCAGATTTAAACACAAACCAAGCAGAGCGTGTCAGTAACTGTGGAAATCATCAGTATTGTCTCCCAGCCGTCAAGTATATAATGAGCATGCTTCCGATCACCCGATACTTGAACAGAGAGGCTGTTAGAGGAGGAAAAAAGATAAAAATGGGACAAGGGATATGAGAATTTGTTATGAGAGGAAAAAAAACAATGTCACTAAAATTAGACCAAAACTCGTCATTGCCCATCAGAAAAATTCAAATAACAGACGTAAAGTGGCTTTTTCTTAAAATTCTTTACAGAAAACAGAGAATAATACTTGAGCTAGTGTACTCAGCGCAGTGACAAGTACCGAATCTCTTGTGCTATAGGTCGAGGATTCGACTTCGCCAGTGAAATAAGCAATTCCTCAACAAATCGCTTATTTGTTCCGATGGTAAATTGGTACTTGCTGCTCCACCATTAGTTTTCTACTAAGCAGCACTCAAAACAGGAAGACACTAACGGCCCTGCCGGTGGGTGACTCCTGTAGGTAGTTGCTACCACTCGAACTACTTCCAAATTACCACTCATCTCACGCAGAGTAAATACGGAGATTTTTAAATATTTAAGTGGAGAAAATTCTCCAACAAAACCTGGTTAAAGACGTCGTAATTTTCAGTCTTTTACGTAATTAAAGAAAAAAGACCGCGCGCTTATTTCTACTGGCAAAAAGATATCGCAGTATTAATGGAATTTGCATAAATATGCATATTTTCAGACATGCAAACTTGGCAAGGCAAACTCTTCTCCACGAGCAAATACGTGCACCTATCTGCTTTTCCACAGCATTTACGTAGAATAAGGGCACGCTCAAAATGCTGAATGGCGGTTGGCTCATCAGCGAAGGCATTATAAAAATATAAACGAAATCCTCCCAAAGCCTCCTTTCCCCGAGCTGCAAGGCAAGTTCATGGATGTATGGGGTGGGGAAAAAAGGTGGGAAAGGGAGAGGAAGGAGGGGGGG